GAAAAGAGCCCCCACCCAAACATCAGCCAATCCTGTATCACCCTGTTTTCGCGCCCTTCCTTTGAACCAGCCAATCCTGTATCGCCCTGTTTTCGCGGGCTTTCCCCTTTAAATAGGCAGAACAGCCCAGAATCGGGGCCGCACCATTTTCCCTGCTGTATCAGCACAGTTTGAGCGAGGCCCAGATTCGAATCTGAAATAAATTCCCTCTTGCCCTTGCATCGGTGTCGGCTCCTTGGTGACTTGGGGGGAAACAGGATTTGGGGCACAACAACACGACACAACCCTGCTTGCTGAAACTGAAGAGTATCTGAAGCATTTGCTGCAGAAAGTCAAGGACTGCAGCCTTCAATACAGATTGAAGTCCAATATAAAAACAACAACAACAAAAAGAAAACTAAAACAAAACAAAACAAAAAACACCCAAAACTAGAAACTAAAAACAAAGATTCTCACCACTGGGCCAATTGTATGGATGGTGAAGAGACTGAGATAGTTAACAGTTTGTTTGCTTGGCTCCACAGTCAACACTCTTGGTACCAGCAGCCAGGAAATCAAGAGACAAATTGCATTTGGAAAGTCAGCTGTCAGGGACCTCTCCAGAGTACTGAAGAGCAACGACATCAGGCTGGAGACAAAGGTGCACCTGATGTGGGCTATAGTCTTTGCAAATTGATGCCTTTGAGCTGTGGTGCTGGAGAAGAGTGTTGAATATACCATGGACTGCTAGAAGAACAAACAATTTTGTCCTGGAGAGGGTGAAGCCGGGCTGCTCCTTGGAGTCAAGGATTCTGAAGCTTCGTCTGACATACTTTGGGCATGTTGCAGGGAGGGACCAGTCCTTGGAGAGGGACATCATGTTTGGGAGAGTGGAGGGACAGTGCAGAAGACCGTCAATGAGATGGATCGATTCAACGATTGGGGTGGTGGGAATGTGTCGGAGACAGTGAGGTTGGCACAGGATAGAGAAGGGGTTAGTACTCTTGTACATAGGGTCAATACGAGTTGCAGGCGACTTGGCACCACATAACAACAACAGGTACCTTCAAGTTATTCAATTATTCATAGCTGTGTCACACAGGACGACACTGGCCTTCTTTCTTTCCCAGAGTAGTTGGAGACTTTGAATCATGTACTTTTGGGGTTGCAGTGCAACTTCCTACCATTAAGCCAACAGAGCTCCCTGTGAAAACCTTATGGTGCTCAGGAGCTGCCATCAGTCAACATTGATTCAGTGGTTGTAGGTTTGATTTTTGATTAGTTGATATGCCAAAGATTGGATATGAATGATCTCCTTCTCCACTGTAAGGTTAGAATTTGCACCTGGCAGAAAAAAGAATCACCTACCTGTTGTTCAGTCTTCCATAAAGATCTTGGTCTTCTCCTTACACTTTCTCCAATTACAGTTCCAAACAGACGCTATAACCCTCTCTGAGTTATAGAGGAAGCAGATGTGGTTTTACCGCATAGTAAATGACAGGGACAGTAGAGGTCATGGCACTAGAGACACTATTGCCAATGTCAGATGGATCTTGGCAGAAAGCAGAGAGTACCAGAAGAATGTCTCTGTGTTTCATTAACAATGCAAAGACTTTTGACTGTGTGGATCACAACGAATTGTGGCTAACCTAGAGAAGAGTAGGAATCCCAGACATTTGATTGTGCTCATGTGAAACTTAGACCAGGAAGTAGTCCTCAGAACAGAGCAAGGAAACACTGCATGGTTCAAAATTAGGAAAGATGTGTGTCAGGGATGCATCTTGTCTCCATACCTTTTCAATCTATATACAGAGCAGATCATTCAAGAGGCTGGGCTTTTTGAGGAGGAATACAGCATCAGGATTGAAGAAAAACTCATCACAATAATCTATGTTATGCAGACATAACTTTGCTTACTGAAACTGAGGAGGACATGAAGCACTTGTTGCAGAAGCTAAAGGACTGTAGTCTTCAATACAGATTAAACCTCAACATCAAGAAAAAAAAGATTCTCACCACTGGGCCATTTGGCAGTACTATGATAGATGGAGAAGAGACTGAGGTTGTTAACAATTACAGCTTGCTCAGCTCCACAATCAATAACTTTGGCACCAGCATTCAGGAAATCAAAAGACACATTGCACAGGGGAATCTTCTGTCAGAGACCTCTACAGAGTACTGAGGAGCAACAATGTTAGCCTACAGACTAAGGTGTGCCTGACCCAGGCCATCATCTTTGCAAGCACTTGCTATGCATCAGAAAGCTGGGCAATGACTATGGATGACAGAAGAAGAATGATGCCTTTTGAGTTGTGGTGCTGGAGAAGAATCTTGAAATAAGTCTGTCTTGGGGAGGGTGAAACCAAGTTTCTCCTTGGAGGCTAGGATTTTGAAGTTCTGTCTCACATACTTCGGGCATGTGGTCAGGAGGGACCAGTCCTTGGGATAGGAAGTCATGCTTGGAAGGATGGACAGAACAGGGAAGACCCTGCATGAAATGGATTGATACAGTAACTGGGGTAATGGGTGTATGCGTGTTGGAGTCAGTGAGACTGGCTCAAAATAGGGCAGGCTTCAGAGCTGTTGTACACAGGGTTGTTATGAGTCATAGGCAAATTGACAGTACATAACAACAACAATATCTAAATGGACATGAGCTTGACAACTCTTAGACTAAGCATTCACTTTCTGATCTTCCTATGGTCTAATATGAGTCATATCAAACATTTCTGGGGATATAGTCATAAATAAGAGAGAATCCTTATAACTGTGAAAGTAATATTTCAAGGCCCAGTGCTGGTCACCTGGTCTAAAGTTTCCTAAATATGACAGGCAAAACAAAATACCTTCTCATTAGCATTTTCATTTTGAGTCCAGGCTTGACCACAGATATATTTAGTTCTAGTATCTAGGGCCTAAGCTCATATCTTTGTCCTTTTGTGCATCTCCCATTTGAAAGGTGAAAAGAGATGTTAGCTCTTATCAACATTCATGACAACAAAGGCTACATTTAGGGAAAATGATCATGCATCTGCCCAGCCTCATAAAATCATTCAGCAGCAGCTGCGATCTACTGAACCTACCTTCTTGGGTACTCTTACTACACACTGGCAGAAGCCTGGACTTGAGGATTTATGATGAGGGATATAGTTATATCACACAGGTTCCACCTTCTATGATTCCTTTTCCCACCAAGAAGACTACACTGCCTGCAACACTTCAAATCACACACTCTTTGCATAGAAAAGGAGCTCTAAACAAAAGCTCTAGACCAGAGCTCCTTTTGAGGGAACTCTGGTGGCATAGTCCACAGACAGTCGTGCCTCTGGTGGTTCAGATCCACTAGGGCTCTGCCAGAGAAAGATAGACAATATCCTCCTGTTCAACTCACTGTCTCAGAAACTCATTGGCAGGTCAGCTGAGTCAGTTCCCACTCAATGACAGTGAGAGATGGGGGCAGAGATACTCTTTTGATTCATTTTACCTTTTCGCTGAAGGCAAGAGTAAGCAATGGAAGTGTCAAATGAACTTTATCTTGAACGCTCCTAGACTGATAATCTGTAACCTAATTATTTTGGATTTTGGAAACAAAAGACAAAGTTTACACCACGAGTCCATTTTAGCAGAGTGAGGGAAAAAAGTAACTAGAGATGGTAAAAATTCCATTTGTAAAATCATTTTATTGGTATAAATATACATATGAATAAAATCCCTTCAGCCTGTAATGTTAAGTGAATTATCTGTGAAATGTCTTAAAAAGAGTAGTATTCTAATTTTTTTCTTTTTTATACAGAGGTCAAAGTATTCTCTCATAAAATCACACATTAAAAGCTAATATGCAGACAGACATGAGAGGCCTTCAGAAAACACCAATATTCATAAAACTTCATTCCAATCAACTATATACATTAATCTGGGTGCATGGCAGAATCCAGCTGGGGATCTCGTTGCCCTCTTCTTGGCTGTGCTTGTTGGTATTGTGCCAAGGCCACTGATCAAGCTTTCCAGGTACAAATCCACCATCAGGAAGGAGGAGGTTCCCCATGGGAGAATGCAAAAACCATACCCATGATCTAATATATATAATTTATACAAGTTATTTATTAGTGTGCTCTGTTAATATAATTACAATGTGCAATTGCATACATTAAGAGTAAAATTTCTCTATCAGGCCACGTGCAGGTTTGACAAAGGGGCGTTCTGCAGCGCCCTATAATGCCTGCGAGGTAGTGGCCTGTCCGTGTGTGAAGGTATGTCCAGTTACTTCTTTGACCTCCCAAACTCCTCCGGCAGGGCAATCTGTAGCTGCCGCAGAGAAATTCAAGTAGGGTCCATGGGATAGTTGCTGGCTTTCGTTGAAGGCATATGAAGGAATGTTTAGAAATCAAATTCCAAGGCTTGGGGTGTTAAGACCAAACAATGTGCTTTGAATGCCAAAGAAATAGATATGCTTTTATACTTGAAAAAAGGGGGAAGGGGAAAGGGGAAGGGAAAGGGGAGACAGAAATAAAAAAGAAAACAAAGCACCAAGAGAAGAGTGCCTAGCAGAGGCACTGCCCCATGCCTCTCTGATGGCTAACAAAAAGCACCCCACAGATAAGACTTCAGCACAGGTGCCTTTTACACAAAAATAAATTCTTTTTCAGCTTCTTCTCCAGAGTCACTGGACTTGCTGCCTTGACGCCCATCTTTGCTGGAGAACTGTTGCTTATGTTCCTGATACTCATAGGTCTGCTGGCCCCAGCTCCTCCTTGGAACTGAAATCAAAAGGGAAGTCAGTCACAGAATTTATTAAGAAGCTAAACCAGTGACCTGACAAGATGCAAGGGGTTCTTGAAAAGTAGGTGGTAGAGTGGTGGTGGTGGGATTGCTCAGAAACAACTTACCAATGAAGTTTAGAGACTCAGGACAAGAGTTAGAAACAACAACAAAACCAGAAGCACATTTGATGAAAGACAAAAACAACAAAGACCCACAGCCTATGAAAGGCGAACCTCTCATAGATGTGGTCAAGACCCTGAGAGGGGCAAACCCCAGAGGGTGTGGGCACACCAGGGGAGCAGAGGAGCTGGCCAGGAAGGAGCACCCCAAAGCTGTTCTGCATCAGGTGACCTCAACCACAGCCGGCTCCCTGCTCACCAGAGAGGACAGGACAAACATGGCTCTGAGACAGCACTGGATAGACATTCTGTTTGATGCCTTCTGCAGCAGAATTACTGTTGGTTATCCCCCATTTTGGGACAGGATACCAAAAAAATGACCCTAGAAATCTTTTGACTATCTAGTCTGTCTTATAAAACCACAGGTCCCCTTTTTATGCTATTTCAGACTCTTGTGGAAATGAGTTCAATACTGTCTTTGGTATATCATGTCCTTTTGGAGTCAATCTCCAAATAAAACAATACTTTCATTTACCTGTCCTGACTACATATAAATATGAAGACTTCACTGAGACTTTACAATGGTAAGAAATAATGACTACATATGAGCCTTTATTATGTATCAGGTCCTCTGTATTATTATTGCTACTCCTCACACTACCCCATGAGTTAGGTTTTAGAAAATTTAGAACCAGGATTTAAAACTAGGTGTGTTTTTCAAAGTCTGTATGCTTGGCAAGTAGAGCATAGTTTTTCTACTACTGTACTATGGGAAATTATAAAATATCATATTCTAGGGCACAGTTATTAAAGACTATTAAAAATTACTGTATGGGTAAGGAGCTCTGGTGGTCTAGTGGTAAGGAACTGTGCTGCTAACCGAAAGGCACACAGTTCAAATCCACCAGCTGCTTAATGGGAGAAAGATGGGTGATTTCCTCTTATGTGATTTACTGCTTCTCAAAACCTACTGGGGTGGGAGGCATCTGTAAGTCAGTTCCCATTTGACAGCACACAACATTAAAATTAAAATTGTATAGGTACTATTTAAGTGGAAAATATCAAACTCATGTATTTATGTGACTTGAAATAGGAATGGAGTATTCTTTTCACTCAGAAGTTCAAATATTCCAACCAGGAACATGGTACTGAAATCTTGGAAGACCTATGGAATCCATGTGATGCTTCTAATAATTTTTATTTTAGGATTTTGCTTTTTAAAAAATAAAAAAGTTCATCTTAAAGGAGCTGGCTACTTAAATGTTTAATCCACTAATGGTTCAGGAAGTGAAAGGTCATTAAACCCCTAGTCAACATGCAAACATAATAAAGTACTTCCTTTGATAATTTGATATTCAGGACTAGATTCTGACATCTAGACAATAAAAATTTAAATTTTCAGGTAATAATGTTAAGTTAAAATTACCTCAAATTCTGGAAAAAGAAATCTTTATAATATCATTTTAAAAGCAGCTTTTCAAGATGTTGGCTTCTTATTTTTTAGTGAACAGCTTTAAACAAATTCTTGGGGTGATGTAACAAATGAATACTATATTTGATTTTTATTTGCTAAGCTTGCTTTTACATAGTACTCACATTTAAAAATGATATACATTTGTTTGATGAGTCCTTTGACAATTATTAATAACCTAAACATTGGAGGAAAAGGCAAAAAAGTTTTTATAAATATTTAAAAATACTTATTCTTTATCATAACATCAATTTGATAGTAACATACAAAGACTCCTTTAAGTTCTTAATTCTATATATTCTAAGATCAGGATGAAGTAGAGAAAAATGATAGTTATATTCATTTTAAAGATATTTTACAATAAATCTAATCTTATAATATTACTTGTGGTATCTGCTAGAAATTTATTTCCATTTTAAATCAAAAGAAGTTCTTTTTCCTTACCAAATACTAAAATATAAACTTCCAATACTACAGGCTAAAGGAAGAAATCGTTTGTTTGTCTCTCAGAGCAAAAGATATTTCCTTTGATTCTTAAGTATGAAAAAGTAAACTTATCATACCTGTCAATATTTTAAACTCAAATTCATTGCTGTTGAGTTGAAATGGACTCATGGTAGACCATCCAGTGGGATTCTGGAGAGTATATAAATCTTACAGGAAGAAACTTCCTGTCTTTTTCTCTTGGAAGAGCTGGTGGATTCTACTGCCAAAGGGGGCCCTTCCTTTGAATTAGTAGTACAATTACCTGGGGACTATACCAGTAAGGCTCCTGACAATATTTTAAATACCTAGAAACTCCAGGACTAATTCATATTAAGTGTGGTAAAATCAGAACCAATAAAAATTGAGATTACCCTAAAGGTTAGAGTTTCTAGCAGGTCTCATTAAAACCTCAGGGAAACTCAGCATTGGAGTTTTTCTGCATAAATCTGATTACCCTTCAATCTCCATTCAATAGTGTGTTCTCTAGAGTCACAGACACTGAACTCCTGGTTCCTCCAGGGCTGGACAAGGGAAAGGGAGGATAATGCAAATGTCATCATGTTAACAAGCTGGTTTCTGAGTTGCTAACACAGACCTAGTACCACTCATGAAATCAAAATATGTAAGAAGAATCATGACCTGTTCCTTCTATGCTGTCATAAAACATTTCATTGGCTGGTGGCATTATTTCAAAATTTACGCTACATTAAATGTGAATATGATTATGCTAACACTTTGGTATTGTGAGAAAGCATCTTTCTAGATAGGAAAATGGGGCATAGTGGGATCAAGGAACTGAAGTCACAACTAATGCAGTTGAGTTTGAAAGCTCAAATAGCTAGTTCTTCCAGTCTCTTGTCTAATTATTTCAGATAACCAGCATAAACAAATTTGCGGGGAGGATGTTCTTGTTAAGTTTCTTTCCTTGTCCTCATGGAGTGTAATTTGATTGTACTCAAGAGGCTAATCAAGATGCTAATTAGTTATATTGAAGTTGGCTTGGTCGGGCTTTCATTAAGGAATAGTACAAAAAGATTATGTCTGTTTGAAATGAAAGCTCCAGAATTTCTTTTTAAATATTTATAAAATTCAGATTTCCTGCTAATTCACATGGATTTCCTCCTCAGGCAGTCTGACTTAATGCTTGACTTATACAGGGAGGGTGGAGAAGAGAGATCTGATTGTTTTATTACAATTCTTCAAATCTCCTATGCACAGTTCAAGTGCAAGAGCATCTATATATATATATGTCCCTATACAAGCATTTATTAACTACTCCATGAACTACTGAGATTAATTTATAAAAGGTAAGTGAGTAGGTTGCATCTGCAACACATATCCCCAATAAATATTCACATTCCATCTACAGTGGCAATAATTGGTGCAGAGAGGCTCAAACATGAAATCTGCCGTTCTTGAAGATGATTTGACTTTGCATATGTACATATGGATGCTAATCTTAATATTTCTGAAAAGTACATATAAACATCAAATTAGAGATTCATAGGAAAATTTGAGCTCATTTCTATTTTAAATTCCACTGACATTCATATTTTCTAGGAGGAAAATATTATGATGACCTTAAAATATTCAGTTAGTTGGCCCTAATTTTCATAGTTTTCTGGTAAGAGCTGGAAATACCAACCAGTTGTTTAACATCTTTTGAAAAACTCATGATGGGAGTGGAATCATGATCTGGTGGAAAAAGAAAGATCATTCATTGGCTTTGGCTGTAAGCCACAGCCAATACTTGTTGGCTACAGGTTAGATTATGTAAAAGGTAAATGATATATAAATAAAAGGAATCTAAGAATCAGGCATGTGTAAATAAGATCTTGTACAGTGCATACAAAGTCTCTTCAAGAAAATCAGTTACACGCTAGTAAAAACACCACAGCTTACAATAGAGACAATAACATGGAATTCCAAAGATGCAGGGACAAATATTTCTAGAAAAAGAAAGTGGTAAGCATTTAGCTGTCAAAACAACATTAAAATAGCCACACAATTAAAACAGAATAATCTTGGTAAAAAATATGCAGCATGATTTGAGAACAATAGCCTCTGTTTCACTGATACATGATTTAGGAAAACAAGAAAATTGTTTTAGGGTAAACAAAGCTGTTCTTAAGAGGCTTACAGGAAAATACACACATGGCTTAATAGAATTGTTCTACTTAAATGCTATTTCTACTTGTTAGCCAGAACTATTTAGAAAGCAGATTGCTATGCAGCTTTCAAAGGTGAACACGGTTTAAGTGGCAGGAATCGGCACTAACAAAAGAAAATGAAATGATATAGAAAAGCAATTTAATTGAAGCTCCTACAAAAAATTACTTTTTGTGCCTGTTGAGATTTCAAGGAATCAAAGTGGGATAGCAAATACAAGATGGTCCTATTTAATGCCATCAAAATTTGACATAACCCATTATAATGAAGATTTTAAGTCTAAGAGGTCATAACATCGTGGAAAAACATGAGACACAGATTTATTCTCTTTTCCTTTCTGTATAACCTGGCTCATCTCTCTGCTTGCTCATCCTCCTTCTATCCTACCTCATGTTATGAATGATCTCTGCAGTTCTGGGCGGTGGATCTGAGCACTTTACTCTGTGGCAGCTTCTTAAAGAAGAAATAGCATATCAAGCATGCCTTGATTAATCATTAACTACATAAGTCAACTGATTTAAAATGTAAATTTCCAGAATTTATAGGCATCCATATAACTGGGGGTAGGGAGTGTAATATTAATCAATATTGTTGTTGCTAGGTGACGTTGAATCGAATACGACTCCTAGCGACCCTATGAACAGCAGACCGGAATCCCATCCTAACCTGTGCCATCCTCACACTTGCTGACACAGTAGAGCCCATTGCAGCAGTAGGAATAATATACTTTCTAATTTAACATTTTCTCAAA